CACACACATACACACACACACACGTGTGCATACACACGAACACGTAGACACACACACACACAACACACAAACCTACTTAAATATATCCATGCACACATACCCACATACACATACACATACCCATACACAGACACAGACACATACATACACACACACACGAACGAACAAAAACACGCCCATGCCAACATACACACATACACACATACACGCGTGCACAAATGCGCAGATAGACACGCAGACACATATACCGCATAGACACATACACACAGACATAGGCAGAGTTTGTATCGTTTCAGCCTGAAGAGCCTTCGTTAGATTTTATGGCCTTTTGGTTGCAGGCGGCGTCGAAGTGAAGGTCCCAACAAAGGTCCTGGATCAGTCTGGGGCTCGTACGCGTATTTTCAAGTTTTTATGGGTTTCTTTCCCAGTTCTGAAGGGTTTTAGGGCTTTACGGCTTTCTGGGAGCTTGCGGGTTTAAGGGTTAAGAGCTGGACGGGTTTACGGGTCTGATTGCGGGGAGTCGTTCTCGAGAAGTTCACATCATGTCCGATGTTCTGCGGGGAATGCCGAAAGATGCTAGATGTTTCATAATGCTGACACGCACATTTGTATTGAGCCCTCTGCCCGAACCAAAAGATCTTCTGTTCCACTACCATTACTTGCTTCTGCGACGACTGGAGCCCCTACTACTAGCCCCTACTAATGGTGCTCCTGTGTCTTCCGTTCATAAATGCTTCTACTGACAATGGGGATGGTCAGCTCGACGTTTTCCACAGAAATGCGAGAAGCAGTGTGAACGCAAGTCTGTCTGTAGTCTATTATTAGTATGATGTTAGTATATTACAAGCATATTATAGTATGCATATGACCTCATATTATGGACTACCATAGTCTATTATCGTCTGATGTCCTGAAAGCAAGGCTCGCCGGAAAGCTGGCCGGCCCGGTGGCGCTGTCCGTAGGACGCGTTGGGATTTGTTTCGTGCTCCTCACAGAGTCGAGAGTAATCTGTCGCTATCGTGCAGAGCAAAGCTCCTATTCATAACCCTAAGCCCTAAACCCTGAACCTTGAATCAATATGAATCAATGCTCTCCGCGAGGAAACGTGCCAAACAATACAAAAGACATCTTGGAGTCGGTGATGAGCATCTGCCTTACTTTCTGTGGTCACCGTCGGAAGACCACTTCTTTCATGTTGAACAAAAGCCACCATTGGTGTTCAGGCCAGCAGTCCGATTCTGCTTCGTCCACAGCATCAACATTGACATCTGAGCCTCTGGCCATCACCCTGCACCTTGTCCTGTGCAAGACTTGGCTTGGTGGTTGTAGTCACACTTGGAGAAGCAGCAGTAGCTACACACGCAGCAACATCCCGAGAGGTGGTTTCAACCGTATGGAACCTCCTGGATTTTGCTTTATGGTCCCAAATGCCAGAGCTGTGGCTGCTTCTTTAGGGGGATTGCTTACACCTTTCTTAATGTATCTTACTGCCTGGTTTACCCAAGCTTCCGAATCTTGAGGTACGATGCCGACGGAAACGAGCTCTCAAACCTGACCTTTGAGGTTGGCGCGTCAGTACTGAAACCATGTCTAGGGAGTGCATCGGGGTTAAGGTACAGTGCGTAGGGGGTAGACTCTGAGTCATTCGAGAATCGCTGCAAGCCGTCGGAAACGCTTCCGAATCTCTACGGCCCGAGCACTTTCAAGGTGCAGCTGCAGGCAACAAGAGGAAGCTCGTAGCCGGGAAGCCACAGTAGAAGGACATAGCAATGCGATCCATACCTCCACTAGCAGACAGTTATATGAAGAAGAGCAGTGATGATGATGGTCTTGATCATGATATTGTTACCGGTAAGAAGGCAAGAAAGCGACAGATTCTTCTCTCTCTCTCTCTCTCTCTTTCTCTTTCTCTTTCGCTCTGGTGATTCAGCAGCATTGACAACAGCAGTAGCAAGCAGAAAGGACATGCGCGTGATCCAGTGATGGTTGTGCGCACCCATGGAACCGGCAGGGCCTTTTGATGTTGTTGCTTGAGGCCGTGTCCAAGATTACTAAGGCTCCGGCGTGGGGCCCCGCCCCGAAATTCTCGAAAAGCCGCATCTGCCAGAGCTGGGAGTGGCGACTCTGTCTAAAACTCGGGGGCCCCGGTTGGCAGGACCGAAGTTCGATGTTGCCGACCGCGTCCTCCAAGGCTGCAGACAGAGTCGCCACCGCGCACCGTCTAAGACGTCCAGTCTTCTTTGGGAATAAATCGCAGGCATCTCCCAGACATCTTCAGCCAAGGCTTTGGATTGGTGGAGCAAGTTGAAGCTTCGGAAAGTATGACTCGTACTTTCCATGAATGCAAGACGGCACTTCCCATACAAGCACAGATCAGCCGCATGTGTCGCTGAAAGCCTCCTCTGCTTTGAGGATCCCCCTGCCAGTTCCATACTTCTCGTGAAAGTTCCCGGGTAGTATGGGACCCAACAGGCCAACATCTGAGACATTCGATGGTAAGCATGACAAGAGTCAGAGGTCTTGGGATGCTCCAAATTATAGTTTTCATGTCTTGCCAAAGCCGGTGCCGAATGCATCGAGGCTGCTGCATGAGAACTGGTTCGCACCTGAGCTCAGAGATTCTCGCGCCCAAGACATGCGGTGACTCGCTCACCAAACTACCTCAATGGGGTTTGGGGTTTACAATAGGATCTAGGGGTTGCGGAGCAACCGAAACCCCGCAGCGAGGTAGTGTGGTGTGCCCGTCGTGGCATGTCTTGGGAGCGAGAATAGCTTCCGGCAGATGCTTAGGGCTGCATCGACAGGGGGGAAGAAAAAGGGTTGCGCTGCCGAGATTGAGACGCGCCTCGTTGCATACAGCAAACAGCACCCCGCCCCGTCGATACAGAACATGCATATAAATCTAAATAAATAAATAAATATATATATATATGCATATACATATGTTTACTCTCCATACATATCATACATGTGCGTGTGCACCCCTTTATATGAGCACCGATATGTTGTGTCTCAATGTTTCATCTCCGGAGGAGCCCTTGGAGCTTGTCTTGCAAGGCACAGCAGATCCAAAGGCGGGAGCTCTGCTTGTGTTCCGGGTTTTAGGGTTTGGGGGACTTGGGGGTTTAGGGACTTGACTGAAGTTCAGGGTTTAGGGTTGAGGCTTTNNGGGGTTGGGGATTTGGGGGTTTAGGGACTTGACTAGAGTTCATGGTTTGGGCCGTCCTAGAGTGTGGTCAGCCGTCATAGTTGCAACTTGTCCCACTGGGTCTTAAGGGGCTGAATCACATGTCTCTGCCTTCTGTCAGAGACTTCATCCTATCCGCACTCCTCCATCTGCCTCCGAGTGACAGACGTCAGAGAACAAGCAGCCGCAACTGGGAGGTACAAAAAGGACACAGAAAGTGACTCAACGACGAAGGCACATCAGAGCCACCGAAGCACAGCAGCGCAACCGTGCAAAATCACGTTGAACACGTGCCGATACCGTGTTGGTAAACATATTCTACTCTTCCCATGTCAAGACGTGGGGGTGCCAGCCCTTTGCCAAACAATCACTGTGTCTAAAGTTTAGTCTAAAGTCTAAAGTTCTAAAAAGTCCTTGCAGGCAGTTTGCGTCTTCTGGGATGAGCAAGCCGGCGATTGGTCCAAGGAAGGCGTTCAGCGCGTTTCATCCGACCCCTCGAACCCGGGCCGGCAAGAAGAGAGAAAGCTCCTGAACCCCTGATTAAGCCTTAAACTTCTTAAACCCCCCCCCCCCCCCCCTTTTTGGCAAAAGGGGCCACGAACAAACGAAGCCGTTAACTCCAAAAGACGCCAAGTCCTTCATCCTGGCCGCCGCAAACCAAACCACTAAACCCCTCAACCCCAAACCTCTCCCAGGAAGCTCGTTTGCAGCACCACACACCTCAGCATCTTCGCAGCCATCATCGAAGCGATCGAGGACAGGGTTGCGGATTTGTATGGGAGCTCTTGACTTGGGTTTATGTTTCCGAGGTTTTACTGAAGATTTCAGCGTTTTTCCTCGACTGGGTCGCCTTCGAGGATGTCATGCTTACGGCACCTGTGATGCTACATTCCGAGCCCTGACTCGTGCAGAGGCCCAAGGGGGCCCTCCGCGTTGGATATCCGGGCCTGCAGATCCTTAAATCCCCTAGAGCGGTGAACAATATACAGTAAGTCTTTCAGCTCTATACCCTAAACCCTAGCGGCCCTAACCTCTTCAAGCTCGTCACCCGCATGACAGAGAGACAGACAGAGAGAGAAAGAAAGACAGAGACAGAGAGACAGAAACAGGGACAAACAGACAGACACAGACAGACACAGACAGACAGACAGCCAGACAGGCAGACAGGCAGACAGGCAGACAGGCAGACAGGCAGACCGGCAGACAGGCAGACAGGCAGACAGGCAGACAGGCAGACAGGCAGACAGGCAGACAGGCTGGCAGGCAGACAGGCAGACAGGCAGACAGGCAGACAGGCAGACAGAGACAGACAGAGACAGACAGAGACAGACAGAGACAGACAGAGACAGGCAGACAGACAGACAGCCAGGCACTCAGGCAGGCAAGCAGGCAGGCAAGCAGGCAGGCAGTAAGACAGACAGACAGACAGACAGACAGACAGACAGACAGACAGACACGGACGCACGCACATCCACGAGAACGTACTTTTCCTACAACGGTTCGAGCCTGTCTCGAGGACACATTTTCCTGCAGCCAGGCGGCCGCAATCTTCTCCGCTGAGGGCTTCCGCTCTCTTTTTTCAGGCACGCAAGTCTCAGGCTTATATATAAAGGTTTGATAAACGTCGCATCGGTTTTCTTAAGGCTTTATCAGCTCTTTTGTGCAAGTGGTTTTGCTTGTTGGAGGGGTTGAGGGTCTAAGGCTTCGGGTGTTTCGCGTTCAGAGTTAAAGCTTCCATGGACATCGGAACCCACTGCATGTAGGTGATCTTCATGGGTATGATCGCCTCTGAACTCAGCCTCAGGTGATTGGTGGAGCCGTTTCCCGGCCATGTTGCGCCCCGGCTCGCGATTACCAATTCTGTTCCTTAGGGTTCCTTATTATGAGTATAGTATAAGGTACCCCAAAACCCTATTCTAATTATTAAGGCCCCTACATTAGTTTCAGAGGGTAGACGTCAATGTAGTGATATGGGGCAGGGGCAGGAGGCCGCTCGTGGTATGGTCGCGAATCACGGTGTGGCATAGTATCATATCATGTACTAGGATGCAGTGTATAGTGTAGTGAAGCATGGTGCAACGTGATGTAACTGTCATGCAATAGCAGGCAGTCCGATTGTAAGCTTTACAGCTTGAGGTGTGGGTCTCATATTGCAAGCCTCTACTGGCAGGAATTGGATGTCCTTCGTCCTCGGGGCCGTGATTCTGTACCTGGCACACCGAGCCGACAGAAAGCACGCTGACGTTCTCGATGCTTTGGAGACCGCCGAGGCTTCAATCCTAGGATTCAGCGGCATGCAACGAATAACTTTCACATTGTTGAAGTGATGTTACCAACAGCGAAAATATGAATACTAGGACGTGGTAAGATGTTCATGACACACTAGGGGCAAAAGCCGTCATGACGCCAGACCTGCTACCATGCCTTTTGGTGGGATGTCCCTTATACCTAGATGAACAGGCAGCCGAGGGCGCAACATCCGATGAGGAGACACAGGTGGAGGCTGTGGCAGCGGAAAGGGCCAAGGACTGCGCGGCTCCTGTGACATATGTTTTACTACGTCTTACTGTATACTAGTTTGTATACTTAATGTACTCTGATATTTACTGTAGATTCTACTATACCATACACTGTGTTGTATTTGACCATCATCGGGCTTCTATCTTCTGTTCTGTGAGATGCTGCTTCGACCTTGCATGCTGCATGATAGCCAAGTCCTGCTGCATGATATTCTCTTGTCCTTGCATTGTTGCGTCGGTTGTATGTGACATCGTTGCCAATATGAACACGCATACTGAATGTGGATTTGTAGAGGCATCACCCCAAGTGTGCTTTGTTGTCTTTCTGTGCCTCAGTCTTGCAGCTGGCGCCGTCCTTTAACTGGAGCTCCGGATGTCAGTCGGTGCTGCGATCTCTTGTGTTCATTGGAGCTTGCGGATACTATATACTATACTTTTCTCTGTATATGATACTATACTATATACTGTACTAAGATTTAACCATCACCACCAAACTGTATCCTCATAGTATTTAGCATTGCTACGGCATGATAAGGGCCTCGGGAGCTCGTGCGGGCTTCACAAGCAGCTTCCCCGTTTCAATGCCAAGCATGATACGAGATCGCATCGCATGATTGCCGAGTGTCATACGACAGCTTTACCTGGCAGCATCAAGTTTAAGCCACATAGTCTTAGTCAGCTAGAGTCATCTCGGAGTAGTACATCTCTGCGAAGGATCCGGCAGAGTCTGCCCCGAAGACCAGCTCAGCGGCACCCCGCAAATTCACTTTGAGATGGTTCTGGCGGTGGCTGGCTCGCTGGAGCATCTACCAGGCAGGCCTACTCAACCTCTGAAGCGCATTGCGCAGGCACGCAGAACACTCACTGCATCCTGCGGCATTCGATAGGATGTACAGTGCCTCGGCCTGTGCGAGTCAACGGCCGCCTGGTCGGATCTGTGCGAACTAAACCCTACATCCTAAAACCCCCCCCCAAAAAACCCTAAACCCTAAATTTTCCGGCAGGTTCTGTTTGCCCATGTCGGCACGGATCACAAGCTTCTGAAGAGAAGTTTCAGCGAGACGGGCTTGACAAAAGCGTCTCATGGCTCGAAACGGCCTGGTTGTTATAGTAGTATTCTGGGTATTGTCGTAGTCTTGTAGTAGTATATGACATTATTGTTGTAGGATTATTGGTTCTTGTCGTATTATTCCAGCATTATTATAGTATTGTATTTGTATTGTAGTAGTATCAATGTAGCAGTATTATAGTGCTGTCTGAACCCCAGTCACCTTGTTGCCTCTCCGCACCACAAGGCACGAGGTGGCAGAGAGCACAGCCACTTCAGCCGTCCGCGGTTCTTCATGGAGGAAGCTGTTGCTGTTGCTCGGCTCTGCTTTCGAAGCTTTCCTTCCCAAATGCTCGTTACACGGAGCCGATGCCGAGCTCGTGGAATCTGCCAAGGTTCTTTACGGTCTGGAACGAGTTGAGGGCTCAGTGGGCTAAAGACGAAGGCGTGTTGCCATGGCTCGAGGCAGGTGGTTTGTGGAGTGCCTTTGGTCGAAAATGTCCTCAGGTGGCTGGCTTTCGCTCTGCCGGATCTCGGCACAACGTGCAGGCCAGCCTGAGATCCGTCATAGAGCATGGCTGTGCGAGCATTCTTCGCCAGGCATTCCCACCGACACCCGCAACCCTAAACCCTAGACCCACAAGCCTGTAAACACTAAACCCTACACCTGACCCCCAGGCAGCGAAGTGCAGCGGTCTTTGCCAGACTCATTGGTTGCTGGGTGCAGGGCCAAGTCGAGACAGCGCTGGTGTTTTCTTATCGACATTGTTATCAATGTATCATTATATTCAGGGTTTGGGGTTTGGGGTCCATGTCGCACTTATTCCGACTACCCTTACTCCTGGCCTGATTGTCTGGCTCCTCCCTGTCGCCACCCACCCACCCACCGGGCTGCTGGGCCCGCCCACCCACCAAGACTGCACGCGCACCTGGATGCGGGGGTGGTTCGTTGTCTCTCAGAGAGGAAGAAGGGTCTCATAAGATCTTCATCTATGCTGACCGACACGTCTCACGACTGAGGCAACGTCGGCGTTGTTTTTCAATTCCTCTGCGCGGGGCAATACAGACGTCGATCCTCGCTGCACACGCGAGGCTGGCTGTCGAAGGGTACATCTTCGCATACTGCTACTGCTACGACGACGGCGACGACTGCCGCTGCTACCTACTACTACCACTCCTCATCCTGCTGCTGCTGCTGCTACT